TATTTAACTTAACGTAATGTTTCCAAGGTTAATTCAGGTTGTTGCAAATTTCCTTCTTTTTATGGTTGAATAATATTCCATTATGTATGTATACACACACAATGGAATATATATATATATGTATATATATATGTATGTATATATTTATACCACATTTAAAAAGAATTCAACCTTTAAACTCTATGAATCATCTTTGGAGTTATAACTAGTGATAAAACACACACACACACACGCTTGTACTTTGAATTACTATCAAGTCAGATCAACCATAAAGTTGGCTAATGAATAGTTAATAACTGGCTGGCTGATCAGCCCATATATTCCTTGGCAAATTGGATCAAACCACAGAAAAGTAGTCTCAGGTAAAGTGAACAATATAACATAATTTCCTTTCTCATAGAAAGAGGCTCTATTTAATTTTCACACCCCTGTGTCTGTTGTCCTTTCATGAAATACAGTAGTCTGCTTCTCAAAATGTCCCTGCTGGTGAAAGACATGCATTTATTTTTTTTACTACATTCTTAATTTCTGGTATGTAGGGATAAACTATGCCTCTGGGAAAGAAATGCACTGCATGGATACACTTTGTGAAGGTAAACATACAGAGGCATTCTGCTTTCTGTTAATTAATGATAGTGATGCCAAGTTTTTTATAGGAAACCAGTTTTGCTTTTGAACACTAGGGAGATCTTTTGAGCATAAGAAATATTTCAATTTAGGAAAACTACAGCACAGCCAAGACTCCAAATGTAACAAGTGAATTACAGTTGGTCTAAAAAATTGGATGCATTAGGAATTGGTCCATGAATGTTCAGTAAATACAACTAGATCCCTGAAAATATTTTCTCGAAGCTAAAGACAACTCTGAAAGTTGGGATTTGTTCCAGCATTTTCCCAGGAGTGGGAATTCAGATGCATGGGCTGGGACTGTGGGAGCTGAGAGAGGCTGGAGTGGCCAGCAGCCCGCTGGGCAGAACCTCGCCTGGCTGGTGAGAGATCAATGTTCCCTGGCTCCAAATGGAGACTGAGTCTGACATTTTTGCAGAGTGGGAGTTTGAGCTTCCTCTTGTTTTTATTCATTACAAAGTCATTTATGAATGCGCACTAACTGTGACATGACCTTGTTGGTATATTTAAAGCAACCCTAGGCTGGTGGGGTTAAAAATTTCATTGTACACACAGAGGCGGCTTGTCAGCAGGAATGCAGAGTTTGGCAGGGTTAGAGGCAATGGACCTGAGGGCTGAGTCACCCTGCAGAGCATGCCAGATAACCCCTCCCCACCCTACACAATGGGTTCTATTCTAGTGCCATTCCCAACTCAGCACGATCTATACTGTTTCTGCCTTGGGCTTGTGTGCAATTGTCTGCATGGAGGCATAGCTGGTAATAAAAGAATGATGGAAATTAGAATGGTTACTTAAAATGAAAACACCAAAGTCTGGTTTCTCTGAGCCCTCCCAAAGGTGTTTACTCTTTGACTTCTAGGAATCAATTCCACAGAAATACTCGTGTCCACAAATACACACACACAAAGAAGTTAATTACAGCATGATGTAGAAGAATGTCAAATTGGCTGAGCATGGTGGCTCATGTCTGTAATCCTAGCACTTTAGGAGGCTGAGGCAAGTGGGTCAGTTGAGCCCAGTTTTAGACCAGCCTGGGCAACATGGTGAAACCCCATCTCTACAAAAAATACAGAAATTAGCCCAGCATGGTGCTGCAGACCTGTGGTTCCAGCTATGGGGAGGCTGAGGTGGGAGGATCACCTGAGTCCAGGTGGTTGAGGCTGCAGTGAGCCATGATCAAGCCACTGCACTCCAGCCTGGGTGACAGAGCGAGACATTCCCTAAATAAATAAATAAATAAATAAATAATGACGAAGACGATTGGAAGCAACATAAACTGGAAGGGGTCATAAATTATGACAGGGGTTCCCAACAGGTACCGGTCCATGGCCTGTTAGGAACTGGCTGTAGAGTAGGAGGTGAGCTGCAGGCAGGCCAGCATTACCGCCGGAGCTCCACCTCCTGTCAGATCAGCGGCAGGTGTTAGATTCTCAGAGGAGCGTGAACTGCACACACAAGGGATCTAGGCTGCATGATCCTTATGAGACTCTAATGATGCCTGATGATCTGTCACTGTCTCCCATCACCCCCAGATGGGATCGTCTAGTTGCAGATAAACAAGCTCAGGGCTCCCACTGATTCTACATTATGGCGAATGTAAAGTAATAACAGAAATAAAGTGCACAATAAATGTAATGTGCTTGAATCATCCTAAACCCCCCGCCCCACTACGCTGTCCTATGTAAAAATTGTCTTCCACGAAACTGGTACCTAGTGCCAAAAGGGTTGGGAACTGCTGAATTACGAACGATTTATGCAATGAAGTATTATGTAGCTATGAAAAACAGCTAGGCAGCTTGCTGAATAAAAATGTCCATCATAGATTGCTAAGGAATGGCGTGTGTGTGTGTGTGTGTGTGTGTGTATAAAATCTCATTTCTGTGTTTTAAAAAACTATGCATGTGAACCAGGGTTGCAGTGTTACCTTTGGAAAGTGGAGTTGGACCAGGTCAAGGAAGGACCAGCGCTTCGTTGTTGTCATTGTTGCTGTTTTTGAGACAGAGTCTCCCTCTGTCATCCAGGCTGGAGTGCAGTGGCATGATCTTGGCTCATTGCAACCTCCGCCTCCTGGGTTCAAGTGATTCTCCTGCCTCAGTCTGCTCAGATGAGTAGCTGGGAACAGGTGCCCACCACCATGCTTGGCTAATTTTTATACTTTTAGTAGAGACAGTTTCACCGTGTTGGCCAGGCTGGTCTTGAACTCCTGACCTCAGGTGATCCTCCCACCTTGGCCTCCTAAAATGTTGGGATTACAGGCGTGGGTCACTATGCCTGGCCAGGACCAGCACTTTGGCTTTCTACATTTCTGTAGAATTAGAATTTTTGCAATTAATATTGTTATTTCTGCAACTAAATATACATTTTAAAAAGGAGATTAAATAACTAAAGAGTAACAGTCAAAATTCCCAGAGTAATCCTGGGATTACATAATAGCCAAAAAGTACAAATCCATAGCTAGAGACGGAAGTTCTATGGTAGCTCTAGGCTATTGGATGAAACATTTCATCATCAAAGTATACAGCAGGCATCCCCAAACTTTTTACACAGGGGGCCAGTTCACTGTCCCTCAGACCATTGGAGGGCCGCCACATACTGTGCTCCTCTCACTGACCACCAGTGAAAGAGGTGCCCCTTCCTGAAGTGCTGCGGAGGGCCGGATAAATGGCCTCAGGGGGCCACATGCGGCCCGCAGGCCGTAGTTTGGGGACGCCTGGTATACAGTCATGTGTTGCTTAGAAACTGGGTTACGTTCTGAGAAATGCATTGTTAGGCAATTTCACTCTTGTGCAAACATTATAGAATGTACCTATCAAATGTAGTTCCTATAGCCCACCACACCCTAGGCTGTGTGGTACAGCCTGTTGCTGCTAGGCTATGAACCTGTGTGATACATTACTGAATACAGTAGCTAATTGTAACACAATGGTAACTATTTCAGTTTTAAACATAGAAAAGGTACACTAAAAATATAATATTAAAGATAAAGAATGGTACCTGTATGGGGCACTTACCATGAGTAGAGCTTGCAGGACTGGAAGTTGCTCTGTGTGAATCAGTGAGGGAGCAGTGAGTGAGTTTAAAAAACGGTTTGACTTTTGTCATAACACTCAGCTTAAAACCAACACAAGCAGAAAGTAGTTGTGTATAGCTGTGCAAAAATTCTTTCTTTCTTTGTATCCTTATTCTAGAAGCTTTTTTTCTATAGATTTTTTTCTTCTTGTTAAACTGTTCGTTAAAAACTAAGATACAAACGCATACACTAGCCTAGGCCTACACAGGGTCTGGATCATCAGTAAAACTGTCTTCCACCTCCACATCTTATCCCCCTGGAAGGCCTTCAGGAGCAGTAACAAGCATGGAGTTGGCACCTCCTGTGATAACAATGCCTTTTCCTGGATACCTCCTGAAGGACCTGCCTGAGGCTGTTTCACAGTTAACTTGTTTGCTTGTTTTTTATATATAAGTGGAAGGAACACACTGCAAAATAAGGATAAAAACATGGTAAATACATAAACCAGTAACAGTCATTTAGTGTCAAGTATTATGCGCTGTACACATAATTCTCTGTGCTATACTTTAATACAACTGACAGTGCAGTCGGTTTCTTTACACCAGCATCACCACAAACACAGGAGTAAAAGTTATGACAGCTGCAATCTCACTAGGTGACAGGAGTTTGTCGGCTCCTTTATAATCTTCTGGGACCACCTCTATGCAGTCAATCGTTGATTGAAATGGGATGTGGTACATGAGTGTATTTCTAGAATTCGTGTTCTATCTTCTAAGAGAAGATGGGACTATGAAGTCCAAACTGTTTATTGGGCTGGCCCTTTTCTTCTATCAGTGTCATTGTACTACCAATAATGCGCTGTTATTTATTTCCTATTTTACAGTTTACAAAGCACCTTTCACACCTGGAATAATAGTTACAACAAACCTGTAATGGGATATCCTTATTTTCAGAAAAAGTAATTGAGGTTTAGGGAAATTAGTTTATGTGCTCTAAATGACACAAGTAGTTAGGGCAAAACTTCAGAAGGAGTCAAATAGGGATTCTGTCCCCAAGCAGGCCATTAATTCTAGGTAAATCACTGTTTTCTAGGTTTTGGGTTTCTCAACTATACAACAGGGATGGGGAAGTGTTCTAAGTATAAAATTATACAATTGTTTAAATGAAACTGAGTAGCCCCTCCCTACCCACCACCCTTCAATTAACTTTGGAACAATTCCCTGGATGTGGTTGAAGATATTTATGTTGTGTAGACATGTCAGACATCCTTCTATTAGCATATTTAGGTGTAGGGTAAAAGGCTATCTACGGTGAATTGGTTAAAAGGACTGATTCTGTTCTTGCAGATTGGTTGGAAAGAACCCAACGGGACATGGGCACACCCTCCCTTCCTGGGCCTCTTCCCCAGGTGGCCCCGGTGAGAGATCAGGAAGCTCCCAGACATAGGATGTCTAACTCACTCAGGCGATCACGTGACAGAGAGGTAAGGATTTCACTTGAATTTAGAGGGATGGTTTTGTACAGATCTGGTTGGTACACAGTAACTCTAAATGATTTCACACCAGCATATAAATAAATAATTGTAAAACAATTGGATTTGTTGTGCTGTTTGGTAATGGGTCAGAGTAACACAAATGGACTTTCCTTATGACTGAGCTGTCACCTGAGTCTTAATATTAATACCATCTGTCAAACCACGGAATCCTAATCTTTAATTAATCAACAAAATTTTATGAACCTATGCCCAAAGGGCCAGGCTTTAAGCCATGAGTGTTGTTATTATTCAGGAGATGACTCCCATTGAAAAGATGTCTTGTTACTTTGGTTTCCAAGAGGAGGGGCCGTGCTGCACAGGGTCACACCAGGAAGTGACTGGGTGGGTCAGGAAGCAGAGGGAGCAATGGGAAACCTGGGCCAGAGCCTTTATTGTGGTTTCCATGAAGGAATGGTTGAGGCAGGGTAAGCAGGCTAGTGTGAACACTTCTCATGGGCTCTGGGGTATAGGGCCTGTCTCTATCAGTTAGTTTGATACCTGGCCCTGGGTGGTTAGAGTGGCTCCACCTGTGAGAGCCTAATAAAGGAGGGGCTTGGGGCTTGGGATCTGAATTGGTTGGTTTGCATATGAAAGACAGATGCATCTTCACTATCTCTAGGAATTGGCCCAGCCCTGAAAGGGCCAGTCTCTCCAGGGTCAGCAAGGCCCCAGCTGTCAAAGCACCAGAATAAAAAGACATGCTTAATACAGGCTGATATAAATTGGGTTAGCCTTAAAAGGAAACACAGAATTGGCAAGTGGGAGTGCTAGAAAAAATATGGATATATAACTTATCACTCTGTATAACGACACGTGTACCAACACATACAACAAATTCGTTGTGGGTCACTGGTTTGGCATTAGTGACTGGGGAAAAGGCTTTTATGTGTGTGTGTGTGTGTTTTTTTTTCTGCTGAGATCACTAGGTTACCTTGCCATTTGAGGTAATGTATTTAGTTTTCCTGCAATTGAGGTATACAATTACCAGGTGACAGTGGGTTCATAAGCATGGTGTTAGCCCCTCCTGCCTCACCCCCATATGTATACATACATATTCTTGCTTGTTTAAAGGTAGCATTTCATTACCCAACTTTTCTTAAGATACAGGAAGACAAACACAATTCTAATATTAGTACCATGGATATACTCAACTAAAACATATCATAAAAATATATTTATTGTATCGTTGCCCTTCCAACACCGCAATACCTGCCCCTTCCCTGTGTAGTTAGAGGGAACAGGTTCCTGAAGAGTATATAAGCTCACATATTTTATTTTTATTCAGGAATGACGTACATAGAGAAGTTATTAGAATATATATATATATATATTTTCTTTTTCTTTTTTTTTTTTTTTTTGAGATGGAGTCTTGCTCTGTCACTTAGCCAGGAGTGCAGTGGTACAATTTCAGCTCACTGCAACCTCTGCCTCCTGGGTTCGAACAATTCTCCTTTCTCCAGCTACTCCTCCTAAGTAGCTGGAATTACAGGCACATGCCATCACACCCAGCTAAGTTTTCTATTTTTAGTAGAGATGGGGTTTCACTGTATTGGTCACGCTGGTCTCAACCTCCTGACCTTAGGTGATCCTAAGGCCTTGGCTTCCCAGAGTGCTGGGATTACAGGCATGAGCCACTGCCCCCAGCCAGAATCAATAGATTTGTTTGCTGTAATTCATGGTACCCTTAAGTGAATCTCTGAAAAATTAGCTTCCATGTATGACTTAACAGTGGCCTTGTTCTTACAGATGTATCATTTATAGAATGATAAATGCCACTGACTCTTGTCTTATACACACACCCACCTGGGCCGGCACCAGGCAAGTGACAGGTGCCACCCATGCTCTGATCTCAGGCCAGCTGATGTAGAGCATGAGGGGGTTGCACTGCTTCTTTTTCCATGGGCTGAGAATTTCCTTTCATGTGGGGCTGGCAAGGCAATGCTTATCTATATAAACATGCTTTTTTTTTTTTTTTTTTTTTTTAAATACCTACACTCATTTGCCAGTTCACCCAGAGAAGCAACAGGTCTCAGGGCCAGAAGTTCTTTCTGCTGGAAGGGTCCAAATTAATCCTTTAAACATAGCGAGTTCATTTCTTTCACGATCTCATTCACTGCTGCATAACCACCCTTCCTCCAAATCTCCCCAAGTAGTGCTAATTAGTCACATGGAGCCCGATTTCTAATAACAAATGAACGTATTTTTTTTCCTCGTCATCACCTTACTAACAAGGGAAAGAAGCCCCCAAAGCCAGAGCAACAGAGACTAGATCAGGTGTAATGTAGCTTCTCTTGAACCCTTTGCTCTGCATACCTAACCCCCAGTTGTGTTCTTAACACCTTTCACTTTTATGATGCCAAGAATAAGGATATAAATATTCTTCAGTTCCTCCTTCCTTTCTTTTTCACTTTTTTTTTTTTTTTTGGCTGTTTTTCTGTAAAGTCTTCATTACCAGTCCACATTCCCTAGATTTAATAACTGAGTTCCTTTTCTTTCTTCTAGTTAGCCTTGATGTCTTTCCTTTCTTCTGTACAATAGTCCTCCTCTGGATCAATAATGGTTACCTGCTTTAAAAGTAACTCTCAAAAAAAAAAAAAAAAAAAAAAGTAACTCTCAAAAGACTTAGATCCTTTTTCAGAGTCCAAAGGCAACCTTTGGGGTCTTGGGAGCTTGGGTTCAGGTAATGAGAGCAGCAGCAACATATGCTTTATTCTGTTAAACGCCAGGTGAAAATCCATTCTGACTGAATTCAAAGTGCAGTTGAAAGAAAAAAAATAAAGTCTTCACAGAAATAACTCACGGTTTTGTACAAACCCGAAGAACTCACTAGATATATCTTTCCTGTGACTGTAACAGACAGAATCGTCTGCACTTGGGTTTCTCTGTTGCTTTCTAGAGGATCCACTGTAGTAATTCTCACACCTTTCCAGTGTCTGGATGGCAGATAAAGGAGCACCTTGGCTAAGGGAGCGCAGGCTCAGGTAAAATAAATAACCCAAGAGAGAAGCAGCCAAACTCGCCAGAGGGCCAGCTCAGACATTCACTCCCCAGCTGTTAAGAATGTTCATTTTCATATCTTTTGTAATTCCATCAACCTTTGGAGCATTCTCAAAGAGGGAGCAGGGTCAGGGAGAGGGGAGAGCGTGGTGACAGCTTCAGGCTACCTGTCTGTACAAGGAAGTAGCTTAACCACTGTATTAGTTTCCAATTACTGCTATATCAAAGTACTGCCAACTTAATGATTTTAAAAAAGAACATTTATTATCTTACAGTTCTGTAGGTCAGAAGTCCGAAATGAGTCTTACTGGGCTAAAGTGTTAGCAAGGCTGTGTGGCTTCTGGAATCTCTTAGGGGAAATCCATTTCCTTGGCTTTTACACCTTCTGGAAGTTTTCATGTACATTCCTTGGTTCACGGCCACCTTTCTCCATCCTCAAAGCCAACAGGGTTGCACTCTCTGACTCTTTCTCTGATGTCATGTTTCTCTCGTTCCCAGGCTATAGCTGGGAAAATTTATCTGGTTTTAAGGATCCAATAGGATCCTTAAATAAAATCACGTGATCCTATTGGAGCCACGCGAATAATCCAGGATACTCTCCCCATTTCAAGATTCTCAATCACAGCTGCAGAGTCCTTTTTGGCACTTCAAGTGACATTCATAAGTTGAGGAGGGGGAAGTCAATTATTCTATCCTACCAAACCGCAAAACGGATAACCTCACTGAGACGGAAAAAGCAAGTTTCTACTTTGGACCTGATGTTGTGAGTGAGTCAGGAGGGCCACCCCAGCTCCAGAGGCAGTTTCCAGGAGCTCCTGGTCAATGGTATGGAGAATGGCAGGACCATCCAGAGCTGGTAGAAGAGAAAGGGCTCCTGTGATGTGACCCCTGGGGCCTGCAGCCGATCCATGTCCATAGAGAGGTTAAAGCAAGAATCAAGCTTCTTGGGTCTGAGGGGCAAATAGAAAGCAAACCAAAATAAATAAAATATAATAAATAAAAAATATTAGAAAAATTTAAGTAAAATAAAAAATGTTAATTTTTGGAGAACTTTGGAAGTCAAAGGAGGGAGAGGAATCATTCTGTATCTAGAGAAGATGGGACAATTCAAGCTTTTTTTTTTTTTTTTAACTTTGAGTTCCAGGATGCAAGTGCAGCATGTGTGGAATTGTTACATAGATATACATGTGCATGGTGGTTTGCTGCACCTTTGAACCCATCATCTAGGTTTTAAGCCCCATGTGCATTAGTTATTTGTCCTAATGCTCTTCCTCCCCTCGCACCTCCCACCCTCTGACTGGCCCCAGTGTGTGCTGTTCCCCTCCCTGTGTTCATGTGTTCTCATTGTTTAACTCTCACTTATGAGTGGGACATGCGGTGTTTGAAGTTTTTTTGAAGGTAGAGAAAACTCATGTATGTTTGAAGAAGGGACATGAAGAAGAGACCAAAGTCATCCTCAAAACTGAAATTAAGGTTTTAATGTGAATTTTAAAATTGTCATTATTAATATTATTATTGCTTGCCTGTAATAAAATTTCATGTGTCACAGACTGATGTGATGTCAAATAAAATAGAATTAAAAAAAATATCCCATTACAGCTGAGGGTCCTTCTCACTTCTCACATGTTTCACCATCATTGCTAGATTACCTCTTAATCGCCCTTCTTCCATCATGTCATTATCCTTCTTTCCACTGCCTAAGATCTTGTGTTTCTCCTGTTGTACAGATCTTCTACAGCCTGAATCCAATCAATATTTCCAAACTTAGCCTGAACTTTTTATTACAAACTCTCCTCTCTGCCAGGACCCGGATGCTCAATGTCGTGTGTATATACCTTGTTCATTACTGTCTCTGAGTTCACATGGATTTCCATTCCCCAAATACTCTTCTTCCTCTCCACCAATTTACTCATTTAGATCTTTGAAAGCTTAAATCCCATTAATACTTTGGC